CTTCTCCCCGTTCTCGTTCCCTACTCTGTTCCCGTTCTCCCCCTGACCTCGCTCCCCTTTCTGGTCTAGCTCATAGCCCCGAGCCTTCCTCGCTCCCTTGTGATACCGTCCCCAGGATCACTCACGTACTCTCCATCTTGTTCCCCACCCGCATCCCGATCCTCATTTTCTCCTGATCTCTCACTATCCCGATCCCTTTTTCTTACCCCGACATCGATTCCCCCCGATCCTGATCCTCCCCCATTCGCATCTAGTTCCCCCTTCACATCCGGACATTTTCCCTCCCATCTCCATCCTGATCGCATCCTTTCCTGCGTTCATCGTAATCTAGTCCTCCCACTCAGATCTAGCACCTCATTTCGGCCTAACCTCTCACTTCGAGCTCTTTTTTTTTTTTTTTTTCCGCAAGGGTTCTTCGACAGCACACGTGCCATACGGGGAATAGGAAAGTCGTCCAAGTTATGCCACTTTCCTTTGTTTAACCTTTATTATTGATAGAAACGCCGATCCCCAAGGGGGGAGGCGAAATGCTGCTAAAATTATTTTAGATCTGCTTACTTCCGGGGAAAGACAAGTCATAGATCCTACKGACGGCGCTGCCRAAATTCTTTTTAGATCTATCCCAGCCCGAATTCTACCGTCTTTAGCTGCTGCCTCTCACCGCTGATCCCCAAGGGGGGWGGCGAAATGCTGCCAAAATCCTCCCCACGACAACGTATCTCTTCAACTCCCTACAACAGCGACCACTCACAATTCCCATTTTGATCCCAATACACCTTGCCCAAGTCTGCCAGCCCCTCGAATCCTTCAAGTTCATTCCCCCACTCACTCACTCATAGATCTTAATTCTCCCCCGGATAGCTTTGGCGAGGTATACAGGTTGAGGAGCAAGCCTGCACGTGTACGAGTCGTTAAAGATGGCCAACACACCACTGGGCTCGCATCCAGAGTCGCTGACCGAAGAGGAAACGGCGAACATTGTCATCGACAACAAGGCACTCAAGTTCCTGATAGAAAAAACGAAAGTTCAAGGGATTGAGTCGCCAGTAAAACAGACAGTAGACGGAAAAGAAGAAGAAGTGGTTATATGGAAATACCCAGAGGAAAATGTCGCAGAACTGGACGATATGCACGAAAAACATGGTATGGTCTTCAACTTCGCCCCCCATGGAGCCGACCTCCAACCTCCAGAGAAAAGGAAATTGGTCATAGAAACAATAAGAAAGGAACCAAAACTCAAAAACATCGGCGATTCCTTTTCTCTGCAGATTCTGGGCCGCAACAGCATCCTGGTCCTCTTCATCCTCGAAGAGCAGGCCAGGATCGCTGCAGAAATGCAATCCAGAAACTGCAATGGGTCAGTGTGCACGATAACCCGCTGGAAAAAGCGTGCCGCACAGAGACAAAACCCGATGTTTGCAGTCTCATACAAACAAAAACCGCTGAAGGAAAATTTTTGGGTTCAGTTCGATAACGTCCAACCAGACTTCCACGGGCTATTGGTCGACAGACTAGAGAGACAGTACAAAGCAAATAAAATTCTTTAAAAAAAAAACCCGAATTCCTGGCTCCGCACTGCGGTTCAATGACAGCCATTCTGGACGTGCAGACAGGCGAACCGCCGGTGTTCCCACTAGTGTGGAAATTCCAGATAGAGGAAAGGATAGTGGAGATCAGAATCTCGACGCGTGCATCTCCCATCTGCTTCCGTTGCAGGGAAAGGGGGCACCTGGGAACAGACCAGAAGTGCCCCAAGTACCCGAAGCAAGCGAAGGAGCGGAAGCTCCTACCAAATATGTTGGTGGAAGTTGAAGAAGCTCCCGGAATATGGTACGTGGCGGACCCCGCGTACGACGGGTGGGTTTTTGACGACAATTTGGAGGAGCCTGACTGGGTCTGGCATTTTGGTGACCAGAATCCAAGCATTAATAAACCCGATTTCTTTCCACCCGCCGACAGCAGATGGCAGAAGAAGGCAACTGGCAAAGTGCGCAGCAACCCTTCCAAAATCAATACAAATCCGATCACAGACTCGAGGGTGATCAAGGAAGAGAAGGTAAGGGAGGACTTGATGTGGGACTTGGAGACAATCAGAGAACAAATCGAAGAAGAAGTCTCAAAAAATCCTGATGAATTTCGAAGAACTCTTAATCAAGTCGAACAATTGGAACTGCCGACTCACAAAAGGAAGGATAAAAACCGGGCTGAGAACAAACGCACCATGCAGGAGCAAACGGAACAGCGAGAGCAAGGAACAGGCGCCAAAAGAAGAAAAGCGGATATCACGGCCAGTGACTCAGACACAGGGAAAGGAAAGGCTGTAGATGGCAGCAAAGGAAAAGCCGAAGGGATGGATCTAGACTCAAAGGGGGAGGAGGCGGGAGACGAAGCGGACGAAGGAACCAGTACACCGAAGTCGGAGTCGAACTTCGACGAGGAGAGATCCCAACAGTCTCTTGCCTGGCTCCGTGACTATGTGGAAAAAGCAAAGCGGGAAAGAKAACACGCGTTTGACGTCCGGGTAGCCTGCCTAAAACATGCTGATAGATCCCAGATCAATGGCAAGAAAAGCTCAGTCGGTGGAATCAGCAAGTCTGAAAACCAGTTTGAGATGCTGAAGAAGGAAAAAGACGAAGAGTTCTCAGAATTTGCAGCCTTCAGGTACGCGGAGAAGAAAAGAGCGAGAGATCAGGGAACGGTTGATCAGGACAAAACCATCCCCACAATCAGGGACAACTTCCAAGACCTTCGACCCAAGGCAAGGAAAACTGGTAAGAGCCAGAAGAAAAAGGACCTCAACAGTGACCGAATGGAAGTTGAAGAGAAGTCTGAGCGGGCCCTATTAGAGAAAGAAGTGGCAGTAGTGCTCTCACAGACTGATAAACTTAAGAAGTGGAACAAAGAATACACCCCGGACTTCACCTCCATCGCACAGATTACGCGTGGGGAGGCCCCAGTGGTGGTCGAATCCGCCAAGTCAGCTCGCAGGACCCTAAGGGACATTCGGCCCCTGGTCGTGGCCAGATATGCGAGGGAGGCGGCGGAGTGGCAGATCGCAACCGACGTAGCCTTCAAAGTTCCCCACTTTGTAGGAGGGGAGAACGTGGTCAGGACACTCAAAAGCAAAGTGTCGCTCGAGGTGCCTCTAGGATTTTTTGAGACAGCAGATCCGGATGAAGAAATGGCAGTCTCTAACTCACAGCAAGGGCAGCAGGATACAACGCGGAGTACCAATGATCAGATTCGATATCATCCGAGAGCCTTCTCTCCCTTCATAGTCAAATTGCCAGAATCTTCACCTCTACTACCAGGTATGCTTTGGAAACCATGGAGGACGGTCATGGAGGTTCCTTACAGCATTCTGGCAGGCGCCGGGATGTCAGCAGAACTGCTGGCCACAGCTCTGTCCAAACTGGTGACTGCGAAGCTATTGGACGGCGATGACGACCTGGAAAGTAGGACTTACGCGGTCGACGGTGAAAGGTTCTACGGGAGTGAGAAGTCGGATGCTGGGTCATGGAAGGCGGAAGATGAAAAAGATGACTTAGATCTGCTGCACAATCAGCTGTTAGAAGGGTCAGGGAACCAAGAAGACCCGAAGGGAGGAGAGGGAGTAGACCCGACGGGGAAGGATTCCCCCSCTGTCCCCACAACCAGCGAGCTGGAACTCTTCGGGGACACACTGGGCGAAGACACTGGTARGATGGACAACCTTACCTAAATGACGGAYATCCTCCTAAGGCTGCCTCKCCCACCCCATCTGTCACCATGGACARCTACATAAGGAAAGCGAACATGGGAAAAGGYCGCTCCACTTGGAGGGACCAGGGTCTGGTCCTGAGAAGTTGGAATGTCAATGGGTTAGGKCACATACTAGAGAGGGAGGAAAAATGGAGGGATATAGTTGCAGGTTTGTCAAAAGACAACAGAAAGTTAGCCGATGTAGTGCTACTGCAGGAGACACATCTAACTTTTTCGTTGGAACATTCCCGTATCCGGGCGGCTATAGCCAGGAAACTAGGAGGACTATTTGACGAAACCTGGGCAGCAGATCCGGCCTCAAGCTCCAAAGGCACAGCCATTTTGATCCCGAAATCCTCTCGATTAACTACTATGGGCTCGATATTGGACAAGAAGGCAGATCTAGACGAAGGGAGATGGTGTTGGGTACAACTGAAATGGAAAGAGGAAGAGTTCATCATTTTCAACGGCTATGCCCCAAATATAGCAGCTGAAAGGAGAGAATTTTGCAGAAAAATAAGGGATTTGCTCCCTCCACTAACGCCTTGCRTAATGGCAGGAGACTGGAATGCGACATTAGATCCTGCTATGGACCGGATCTCTCGATCAGCCGCCCCTCCCAGTCCCGCTGAAGCTCTACCGATACGKGAWTTGATGACAGACCTCAACCTGGTCGACCCATTTAGAACCCTGCACCCAACCAAGAAGTCCTTCACCCTGGTTAAGAAAAATCAAGCGAACCACACTGCCTTCTCACKCATAGATTTTTTCTTAATGTCTAACACTCTGATGGGCGCAGTTAAGGAGGCTGAGGTGCTCCCATTGGCCCCCTACCCGGGCCTGGATCATAAACCAATTGAGCTAGTACTTGGCTTCGACCAAATAGTCCAAAAAGGCACAAGCTTTCACAAGCTGAACAATTCCCTGCTATTGAGCAAAACCTTTCAAGAAGAGGTATGCGACTGCTGGGAAAACCAAAGACTAATCCGCTTGAACACCATCCCCAGGTGGACCTGGTTTCAAAACAGCTACTCGTCTCTCTCGGACTYGGTAGCCAAGATATCRAGAAAATTGGCATCAATTAGGAAGCAGAGGAAACAAACATTGGAATTTGCCTTAAAAGCAGCAGAGGCCAACCTAGAATCCAACCCCTCCTCCCCACTGTACAATGGACTTTTTGAAAAAGCACGAGAGGAGCTAGGGATGTGGAAATGGTGGGAACTGAAAGGCCTGCAAGTGAGAGCTAGAATGTGCCATCACGACCTTAATGATTCCATGACAAAACACTTCTTTGCCTGAATCAAGGCGAACTCGAGATCCGGCACAATTGAAGGTCTACAGTCCCCAACCACTCCGGATTCGGTAAGATCAGACAGCGCAGGCATGCTACAGATTGCACACGACTTCTACAGAAATCTGTACCAGTCCAAAACTGAGACTCCAGTATCCAGGAATGTGATAGAGGCGCGACAGCGAATGCACGATATCCTCGGAACAAAAGGAAGATCTCGAAAAGCCACTTACGCTCGAAGAACTGCACCAAGCTCTCCTAAGTATGAACAATAATAAATCTCCCGGCATTGACGAGCTAACGAAGGAATTCTGGGAAAAATTCTGGCCCTTGCTCAGACATGATCTGCTGAATTTTTACAACAACTGGTGGTCCAAGGGGGGACTGGGAAACTTGCTCAGTAGCAGTGTGGTGACACTCCTATACAAAAAAGGAAATAAAGATGATATCAGAAACTACCGACCCATTTCCTTACTGACACTCCCGTATAAGATATTGGCCAAGACACTTTCCAACCGAATCGTGAAGATCACAAACAAATGCTTTCACATCGATCAGACAGGTTTCATTCCGGGACGATACATCCTAGACAACGTCATGACCCTGAACGAATCAGTCAGAAAAATCAGAGAAAGGAGAATAAATGCGGCCATTCTATTTTTCGACTTTGAGAAAGCATATGATCAGGTCAATTGGGACTTCATGGAGAACAGTATGGAAAGAATGGGAGTTGGACCCAACTTCAGAAAATGGATAAGAATACTGTATAGGGACGCAGTGGGTTCCGTCCAGGTGAACGGACTGCTATCAGAAAGTTATCCGATCTCACGATCAGTTCGTCAAGGGGATTCCCTGGCCCTGAGGGGGAAGAGGGGGAAGCGGGCCGGCAAGCAGGGGGGTTGTACAGAGGAGGTCAGATGGTCAGGGGATGGACCTGGGCAAGAGGCGGGAGGACGGCAAGAGGGGGAAGCGGGCCGGCCGGGGGACGAGGTGGTGATGGACTATCAGCTGTGTTTTCATGGCCATTGTATCTGGTATCCAGACAACTACAGTTTTTCACTCATTGAAGCTGATGCCCCAGACACGGTACGAAGATGCATGCGAGAGGAACATGTATCCTCCTACCATGGAAGGTATGCAGACATCTACAGGATCGGGATTTGTTGACAAGTTTGGGGACAGAAAGGAAGACTAAGCACCATCTACCATGTAAATTCACGTATTAATCAGACCAGGACGAAGATGAGTTTCTTGCTCATTTATTGCCGGCTGCACCTCAGAGTGTTGCTCGTTACAACAGGAGACTCTTACAGAATGAGTGCGGGCATCGGTAACAGCTCCTCAGATCCTTGCCCAGAACTTCAGATTTTGTACGTATTGTAACGTAGTCATTGAGAGTTCTGATGGTCTTTGCCTCAGTTGAAGTCGCTTCCAACGTTTTCAGAGGACTTGGAACTGAAAGGGAGGGTGGGGGGGCAGTGTGATTTGGACATGCAACCTGCCCCAAGCATTGCCGTATTTCAACTTCCAAGTTATTTGCTATTTTGCTCTTCCAGTGTTCTGAACCTGGAACCTGTGAAGAGGATGCAGCTCATCAAAAGTGAAGATCACGCAACAATTTTCACTCGGTTGTCATTCCTGAAGTTATGCTGCTTGGTGGAGCTGAAGGTGCACCAAATTTAGCACTAGACGGAGGCTGGGTGCAGTAAATCGCTCAGTTCTGTGTAAGTTTCTCTAAATTCTCTTGCTTTAATGCAAATGTTCGATTTCAGTTTCTGTGAGGCACAATTAAGTGTGACTACATCTAAATCAAGCATGGATGATGGATGTATGATCATGGTTGAAAGTAGATGGTATTCTGGAAATATCTTACAAAACAACTGATTCTGAATTCCTTACCTCCAGCCACAAACAGTTGTGATAATGCACAAGAAGAATCCCTTTAGAGGTAAAAGTTTATCCGCAGCCTCAATGACGACAAATGAAATGGAACACCTTATTCCACATCCCAACCTGAAAAATGATCGTATACGTTACTGTGTGACAATGATAAAGCCAGGAGTGTGTGTGTGTGAGTGTGTGTGTGTGTGTGTGTGTGTGTGAGAGAGAGAGAGAGAGAGAGAGAGAGAGAGAGAGAGAGAGAGAGAGAGAGAGAGAGAGAGAGAGAGAGAGAGAGAGAGAGAGAGAGAGAGAGAGAGAGAGAGAGAGAGAGAGAGAGAGAGAGAGAGAGAGAGAGAGAGAGAGCTTAATCCACATCCTGACCAGACTGCTTAGCCGCCAACAACCAACTAGTATATTAGCGTGTGGCGGTGAGATCTCCCTACCTCGTAAGCAACCATGTTAGTAGTGTGATCCAAGGAAATGAGATTTCAAATCACGGGAGCAAACTTTACCTTGACCTTAGTGGAGCGCTCCGGTCATGCATTGCACAGTCTGCAATTCGTGGGATGATCCTTGCCACACGGCAATACAGCAACATCTGAAGTCATAGTGAACGTCAGCAATGAGCTGATGCAAAGAAACTAACACAACATTTGCAGCAAATGGGTACGCTAAGCAATTCATGGATGAGGGTGAATGCAAAACGTAAACACACCACAATTCTCGAGGTGTTATGATCCTGACTATCTTTCAGAGCAAAAAATCGAAGAAAGACAATGCCGTTAATTGCAACGGAAATGAAAGAACTCGGAAAAATAAATAGACAAAGAAAGACGAAGAAAAAAGAATGGAAGAAGAAGAAGATAAACACCAGCAAGTACCAGTGCCAATTCCCCTTCACATTGCCACCTTCTTCAACCTCCAATGACTCCCCCAACTTCTTCTTCCTTATACTTCCTAAAGAAAATAGCGGTCCTCGTGACGCCCCGCAGCGGGCCCAGAAAAAAATGCTGGGACGCTGACCTGTATGGAGGCGGGGACGGCATGCCAGGCGGCTCAAATTTTATCAGGGCCTAGGGTGGCGGCACAGGGCACGTGGTGCTCGGCAACCTTCCTTTTTTTTCCCTTCAGTGTGGGCCCGGGTGCATGCGGGAGCTTCGTGGTTCCACAAAATTGTTTCTACCAGCGGGAGGCAACGGGAGGGCACAATGAGACGGTGTGTGTTGGACTCAGGGGGATTTGAACCCGAGACCTGTCCCACATGTGAAACAAAAAAACAAGTGTTTATTTTTGTTTTTCAAGTTTGCTGCCAATCAAATTGGAACTTGGAACTTCCAAGTAACTGTTAGCTGATCTTGGACACATAGTACACTATAGGACCGAGACCTCTAATTCTCGAGGCCAGAGCCCAGTGGGACCCTGTAGGGGACGTTCGACCCTCTAGCTTGTCAGCAAGCGGTTTCAAAAAAAAAAAAAAAAAAAAAAAAAAAAAAAAAACTGTAGGCCTAGGCAAAATTGGCATAGCAAAAGGTGACGAGCTGGGACTATAGTTGATTCATTTTCATTTCGTGATTTTGGTGGAGTGAGGAGAGGAAGCAGCAGTGCCAATCTTGGCAGCTGAAGGAGAGGGTTTGAGTGCAGCCATAGCCAGTGAGTTTTGGCTATATACTGCACGGTAATTGAGTGCCATTTGTAAGCACATTGCTCAGTGCAGCCAGGCCTCAAGTGGACATCACCTTTTCTTAATTTTCATAAAGTGTGCCAGTGTGCTTGTTCACTATGAGCTTGGTGTAAAGCTTTTCTCCAATCGCCATCTTCAAGATTGGTCTTCACTTCGCTATGTTTGAGTGCTATGCATGGAAAAAAGTTGAAGTTTGGCAAATTCCTAACACTGGTATCAGAGCGGGCAACGATCTGGACATCGGCCAAGTGATTGGGTACACCAAGCTGCCACATCAGAATCTTTGACACTTCATCAATTGCCACGTCAGCAATTATATTCCACCAGTTGGCATCTACCTACTTCACGTTGTACATTGTTTAGCACGGTTTACCGCAAGGATAATAACCATGGAGAAAAAGAAGAGAACAGTGGAATTAAAGAAAGGCAGTTGGAAAAGAGGCGGAGGGTGTTCAAGGTCACACGCTCATAGGCGAGAAAGAAGACCCATGTACATCAGCGGTTGTCCACCCCTGAAAAGAAGAAGATGGTCGCAAAGAAGAAACCAACTATGACGACAAGTGCAAAGGACGAGCTTGCAGCAGTGGAGGCAAAGAGAGTGCAATCAGAAGAGAAGGCGAGAAAGGAGGAGGAAGAGAAATGAAGAAGAAAGGCATAGCAGACTCCAAGCGGATTGCAGCAGAGCTAACCGCCGATGTGGGAGATAGATTGCCAGCCCTCTTCACATTGCAATCTGCTCATGCGGATGAGCTGGTGACACTGAAGAAGAAGATGACGTCCATGAACAGCAAGATGGACGTTATTGTGGCCAAGCTGCAAGGTCGAGCAAGTCCAAGCACACCACATTCTTCCCCTAAGAAAAAGCGGAAATTGAGGGGGAGCGGATATCAAAACCGCCACCCAAATTTTGAGGCGGATGTAATGAGGATGTGGATCCCTGGTTGCGCGCCATCGACAGGCAGCTAGATTATTATGAGCTTACCAAGGACAACGACAAAATCCATTTTGCATTTTCCGCAATGTTGGATGCAACACGAGAGTCGCTGGACAACGAAGTGTTGCAGGCAGGTGAAGATATTGCTGAGTACACCAAACATACTACATGGCTGGAATTTTCCCAAAAGTTGAGAGAGCGGTACACGGCAATTACCCGTCAAGATCCGGCATGGGCCCGATATGATGAGTTGCCCACAAATGCTTACTGTGGAATCATGCATGATCTGATCCGAGAATTTGATCAGATCTTGCAGACACTGCAACTGGAGATTGGGGAAGGCCCAATACTTTCATGAGGGCTCTTCCAAAGAGGATTGCAAGACAGTACACAGTATGGACGATTTGGAAAAGACGCTGTCAGGTTACAATAGGGAAGCGGCTGATGCATGAACAGGAAGCAAGGGAGATCCTCCTAAACCTAATGGAGACAGAGATTTGGGCACAGTGGAAAAAAAAACACAGCGGCAGATGAGGCAGCAACCGGACTGATGCCCCCAGAATAGAAGGGGCTGGGTGTTATGTAAAAAAAAAAAAAAAAAAAAAAAAAAAAAAAAAAAAAAAAAAAAAAAAAAAGAGGCAGCAACTGGACCAAGTGCAGGACCTGAAAGACAGATTCGACCGCAGAACCCTAGGGAATGGTAAGGTAGCAACTATCCGGGCTACAGGCCTCGTTTTTTCGTGGAGACAGAGAGGGTGAGAAGGCCGTAGCAAAGGGAATGAGGTTAGCAACAGTAGGGTTTACGGTTTAAGGCAAGGACCAGGAAGAAAGAATGAGGCAAGGAGAAGTTAGACAGAGGAGGACCTAGGGGCGTTTCGAAGGGTAAATGGGGACCTAGATAGAGATTTTTCCCTTATTACTATTTGTTGGTTGTTAATCCAGTTTCCTTTTTTCATGAATAGCATGTGAACAGATAGAAGGTGGGAGCACAGGAACCACCCCGCAATACTAGCCTAATCTGGGTAGTGGCCCCAGTCATCCGGGTTGAGATGTGGAGGGATTCCCGGCCTCCTTTTGCTCAAGCCACCTGGGTCCCCAACGCAAGGAGTTGAAGACTTACCTCAAGATGGCAGAGGACACTTTAAAATTAGACTCTGCACTGCGGTCTGCTGAAGGGACAACGAGGACCAAGAGGCCAATCAAGAACAGCGACAGTTTCACTCATGTGCACGGGAGGAGAACCCAACGTTATCAAAGCAAGATGTACGCTACAGTTACCGAAGGGCCGGCATACTTCAGTGGCAACAGGAGTGGGGGAAGTTCAGAGGATGAGAGAGAAGAAAGCCCCCAAAAGGAGAGAGGAGAGACCAGCATCCAGTTCACAAGGAGAGCAGAATCACACAATGCTTGCTGCATTACATGAACTGATAAAAGTTGTGAGGAAAAAAGCAGTCCCCGCAACAGCAAAGGAGAATGAAACGGCAGAGCGGGCGAGATGATGTCCCAGCGAGAGGAAACAGAGCATGGGTACGTTGTGGGACAGAGTGAGAAAGGACGCATTATGAATATAATGGAGATGGCCTATGTGTG